AGGTCCTCACAGAATTGCCGCAACTGAAGGCCTTTCGTATGAGCAATAAGAATCATATAAAGGCTTTAAATACTTATTTGGTCAGTACTGGAAGTCATAAATTTGTATAGATACATAACACCTGAAATAAACGAACGACTTTTGTTTTAAAAACGATTTTCGGATAAAAGTGGGAATCGACGAAATAAGTTCAGGTCATTTCATTGCGATTCTCTCTTTTTTTCTGGTATACACGTTCATGAAGGGAGCGAGCGCCTCTACAGGTGTGCACCGTGCAATTTGGGTACAGGTGAGTGATGGTCGGTCGAGTGGTTTTTTCGGTTTGCTTTACGGTTCCTTAAGCCCTTAAATCATGCTCCCCTCTGTTTGTACTTACAGCGACTTTCGTGTGACGGATTTAGTGTACACACCGGTAATGCGCACTGTTGCGGGCATGTTGAAGAATATTGAACCGACGACGCGTATTTGTTCGTGGATGTACAGTAGCCAGGAGGACCGACTAATAAAATCACCGCAGTAGTATTAAAACACTTCTGGAGGAGAATAATCGATGGATCATTTGCGTTTACACGGCGCGATTTACATGCGACAAGACGGTACGACTGTATGTGCAAGTTGCCCTTCAACTTTGCTAAGTGCTATGAAATTTTTTATCCAAATGTGACCTTTCTAATAATCTTCAGTGCTAACAATGAAGATACTTAAACAGAAATTTCATATTTATATTAAAAACTAAGTGTCCCGAAGTGACGGACAAATAATGGGAAGATTTGCATTTTGAACGCGTGACAATCTTTAGTGGAATAGTTGAAAAATAAAGTTCGGCAAATTTATTATCAGGAAGGTGAATATGTACACATATTGAGTACAGTCATGTCATTCGATATTCCATAGACACCTGAACACTTATCTATGAAGATACTATTCCTTACTTTAAGCATGTTTACTCGAATTGTGAAACACCCGAATAACTTAAGTGGCGTTGGGTTATGGAATGAAGATTTATAGAGAAACTTTTGTAGAGAAAAAGCTCAGAGTTATTCTCGGAAAATCTTTGACATGTTTTTCTATTTAATCAACTACTTTCAAGTCTTCTCAAGCTTCTTCGGGATTTACTGTGAATGCTTTGCATAGTGTATGGGTGCAAACACGGCATACAAAGCAGGTAGAGTTAAGCCGATGCAAATCGCTTTTGGATCATAACATGAAAGATTATCGTTGCACCGTCAGTCGGAAGGATCACAACTTTATTGTGATGTGTACACCGTTCAGTTTGCCCTACATCCTTTTAGCTAGGCACGCAATCTTTCGCGAACGCACAGGTGTATCCATTGTTCGAGCTTATGCCAGAAGATCCATTTAATAGGATTACGTTTGAATGCTATTAGACTCTGGCTAAATTTTAATTGGCTTTGACGTAAATGCATTCTGCATCGTGGCCACTCGATCGGCTGTGAGCACGTTTTCATCGATATATTTTATTCCGGGGTATAACGCAAATGAGACCATAATTAAGTTCGGTAATGTCGACAATTTAACAAGCAAGACTCCAGTACTTGCGCGAGGAGTAATGAACTTGTTAGGAAATGGAGTGACGATAATATTGTTGCATTGTAATATCTTTTTACCCATGGCTTTGGAACGCACGGGCAAAGAGTTGTCACAATTCAGCCAATTTTTCTTTCATAATGATAGGTCTATTGTCCGGTACGCTTTCCTTGTAATTACGAAAGAGCGTACCCACTAATTTTCGACGCAAGTCTAAATTTGAACTCTACACGGCAAAATATGTGTACGCGCGTATGTGTGCACGTGATGCGTGCCATTATTTTTATTTAATTATAGTTTTATAATATATAATATAGATACAGAATTAAAACAATGAACTGGAACGCCTGAAAATCAAAATTGTGCACATGATAACCGTATATATCGTTTAGCACAATGAAAGGAGTCTCGGTACATGCAAGCATTTTTTAAACTAAAATTGAATCACTAGCTTTTTACAATATCCCATATGCTGCATCTTAGTCTCGGATTTGCACGATGTTTAGTTTTAGATGATACAATTTTTTTGCGAGTAGGATATATTCCACGCTAAGTAAAGATTTACTTTCTACGTGAAATTAATTACTTGCAGCGGATATAAATATTTGTTGGTAAGAAATTCCTTGGCTCTTAATGGAGAATCAGTATTGTTCCAAATTGATGCAAGAAGGAGTTCATCGGGAAGATTGGAGACATCTCAGACTTACTATAAATCTATGAAACTGTACTTTGGTACAAGAACATTACTAATTCTCCCAAAGTCCTTCACCTTATGATACGACTCAACTTCTCAATCAAAGCCATTTACATAGAAACAATCTATTCATAACGAGCTCCCAAAAACTTGGCGAAGCTAAGATTAAGATATCTGAACATCGTTTCAAATTTGCATGAATTTCATTCAATCAATGCTATACCTTACTTCGTTGATAATAGCAAGTAAAATTTTTTCCGTCGCAAGAATTCTCTCTTTTCTTTGTTTTTCATAAAAAGTGACTTTTTTGCTCAGGGTTAGTACGCGCGTAAAGATGTGCTAGAATTTCTCTAGTACTCCTCATATGATTTAATCCGCAGGATGATATCCACCCAATTACACAAGATCATCGTGCCCACTTGATTCCGACCTAGTCCAAAATTTGTAGACTTTTGTCCAGTAGGAAGAACGTTGCGCAGTCCTGTAGACACGGAGTGATTCACACGAGTCCTTAGACCGATCCATGGAGAGACGAGGGCCTTTCTCCTCGTGTGCTAATCGATCCGCTTCCTACGCTCGTAATTATGTAACGGGGTCTTTACGAACCCCAAGAGGGCAAAATTCGCCATACGTTCTTGTACATCCACAGCCGGCATTAATATACATGGAACTTCGCGTTCACGCCCTTATGTTAATGCCACGCGGAAAAGCCTCCTTTCCCCGTGTTGCTCGATCTTATCGTTATCTTCCCACCAGGGGTTGTTCCACCGGCGTGAAGCGATGTGGAAATTCTCCGGATTTCACACCGAAAGGCATGCAAACTACAAAGTGGTTGAAGCCGTTTTGATTAATGCCCCCCTGGAGAACTCGTTCGTCCCGTACCAACAATTTGTTATAACAAATGAACCGCGTCACACCCGGAGACACGCGGACCGCGATATGATTAAACTTTATGATAAACGTTACCTGGGAATTTATTTCTACGTCGGCGTGACATTAATGCGGATAAATGGGGGATTTTATGTGGTATCGACGGGAAAGGCGGGTGTATTTTTTTTTTAACGGCGATTTATTCGTTAATTCGTGTTGGCGGATTACCCGATTGACGGAAGAAGACGGGAACATAAATTACGGCCGCCTTTGTGGTATAATGAATTTTCCCCTTTTTTCTCCTTTTATAGCCCATCTTCTCTCGTTAAAGTGCTTACGCCTAATTGGAAGTACCCGAAAGTTAAAATTAGGGGATCTATCAGGACTGTCGATCCTTGGTCTTAACTACGCAGATCTTCCTAATAACGAGCGAAACCCACGCTTAGTGAGTTCCACCCACGATCCACCTAAACCTATCGTCTTGTACAGTATCGTCTCGCAGCCTGCTTTCGTGTCGCCTATATATGCCGAACTTCGCGAAAAATTATAATATTTCTTCTCGCATCCTTTTTCTTATTTCCATGCCAAGAAAGATGATCGACCGAATCGTCGTTGTAAAGATGACGAATAGGTTTTTTGATTTAGGGTATTTTAAATCAAACCTTTTGTGTCCTCCCAAATGATCCGAACAGTTTCGAAAGTGCTTGCGGGAGAGCGAGTATGTTGTATAATTTAAATATTGGATGTTTCATACATGAATATTAATGGGTACACAAGTATCGTAAGTGTGAGGTGCATTTGAAGCCTGTTGCTTGATATCAAAAGGTTTGACATCGAGATAAGGACCGTCACGGTGAGGGTAACAATTGTTACAGTACTACTAAAATTTATCATTTATCTTTTATAGTAAAAGTGTACAGGATTGTATAAGAGGACAATTTTTATTTCGAGAAGATTTACATCGGGGTTGCACAGTGATTTATTCTTGTTCTGAAAAAAGAAAGAAAAGTGTCCAATTCGAAGAGATAGCTGCGACTTGCAGGATAACATTGAGAATTGAGAACTTAAAAAATGAACGATATAACATACACAAAGCACATCGGTACCACGTTACATTACCCTACTAATGTATAATTTCAGTGCTGACAGACTGTATTACGAAGCGGTAATAATTCAACAATACGTAGTATAAATATATCATTTGAATAACTTTCGTTACATTCATTACTTCAGTGTTATGCAATTACAATATAACGTGCCTGGTAGTTATACTTTATTCCCTTGCGATAAATCGTACAAAGAGTAAACTATAGTAAACTATAGTAAACTATAGTAAACTATAGTAAACTATAGTAAACTATAGTAAACTATAGTAAACTATAGTAAACTATAGTAAACTATAGTAAACTATAGTAAACTATAGTAAACTATAGTAAACTATAGTAAACTATAGTAAACTATAGTAAACTATAGTAAACTAAATTAAACTATAGTAAACTATAGTAAACTAAACCCCGAGCTGCTCCACCCTCCTCGAAACGGGACCGAGGCGAAACCACGTGACGCGACGCAGCAAGGTGTTCGACCCGAGAGGGTGGTCGGTCGGTTGGGGTGCGCGCAGCCCCCCGCTCGGCGCGGGCCCGGGTCCTGTCGGTGGTCCTCGGGCGCCGCTCGGGCCGCGGGCCGCGGACCAATGGGAGGCCGCGGAGCGCGCGCGGCGAGCCTACCGGCGGCGCGCGCGGGCGAGTCCCCCACGAGCCGTCGGGCCCGAGCGCGGCCGGGTGCCTACTGCCTCGCGGGCGGCGGCGGCGGCGGCGGCGGTGGTGGCGGCGGCGGCGGCGAGCCTTCTCCCGCCCGCCTCGGCCTCCAGTGGTGTGCCGATCGCGACTCGCGAGTCACCTCCGTTCACCTCGCCGGCTGCTCGGCGGTCCCGGTCGCCTCAGTCGGTTCTCCCGAGTCGGTCGAGTCGCGGCCTACCGCAGGGAGCGCGGCCGCAGTCGCCGGCCTCGCCGCGCGGGAAATCCGCCCCGGCGTCGAGTCGCTCTCTCTCTCTCTGTCTCTCCCCCGAGCGCGCGTCGGTGCTTCTCTCGGCGCGCATGCGCCCACCGCGTCGCCCGTCGGACTGGGCCGCGGATCGGCGGCGATCGCCGATCGGTACGACGTCATTATGTCACACTCCCACGCGAACCGGCCCGCCAGCGGGATCCTCGCTGCCTGACATTTCCGCGAGAGCGCGCGCATGCGCGGCCCGCTGCGACCCGCGGAGGTAGACACGAGGAGGAGAGGAGAAAGGGCCGGAGAGGCGAGGAGAGGCGAATATTTGTTTATACCTTCGTATTTACTTAAGCTTCGCCCGGAAGGCCCTTCCATCGCGGGGAATCGTTAGGGAATGCGGGATGACGGATGGACGAGTAGGACAAGCGTAGGCGTACAGGAGGCGCTTTGGAACGACTCGGCTCGATTCCCTTTATGTAAGGCTGATTTTCATCCCAAACTAATATACGAAGGAACGACGATATCGAGGTTTTATATCGAGTTGACCGCTTCAAAACGTTCAGGGAGTAGGACATACCTTGAAAGCACTTTCGGTATAAACATCGGAGAGATCAGCTGGAGGGTGACAAAGAGATCGCTCGAGTGTTTTAACTTTATTTCTATTTTATTTTCGTCTTTACAACCCAAGAGATACCCACAAGTTGGGGTGGGTCTTTCGATCTTGAGAGTACTATCTTATAATTTCGCTCGCTTGAGTACTTCGATTCTAGAGGTGTAGTCGCTTAGGGAACGATTTGCATCCCCGAATCGTCCCTCGGCCGATATTCGGTATCTGCGTTCGATATTCCGCGAAAAAGGGGGACACCTCGTTTACGATTCAATCTCGGAACCTTGTTCTTAACGGCGGAGCGCGGTTGCGCCGGCATTACGAGATACGCTCGTTTATTAAATGATTTTATCGAGCATTTGATGGAGACGACGGCTCGGAAGACGCGACGGCCAATCGGAGTCGAGATCTGGGCGTAACTCGAACCCCATTGGCCGCGGCGACGAGATCGGTCCGGACGGTCGCGAGAGGAGCTTCTTCGATTTCAAGAGGGTTTCGGCCTCTGCTGCGCGCGCTGCCTGTTTAGAAACCGTCCGGAACGATGCGGTGTCCGGGTCAAGTAAATCGGCGATCGAGTGTCGGGCGATGGGAGGTTAACTTCGGTTAGGTGCTCCTCGTTTCCCGAAAGCGACGAAGCTTGTAGTCGGCGACGCGAGGGAACCGCGAGGGAATCGCGAATCCGCGAAATTCGAGAAACTTTGCCTTACCGAGATTTTGGTACACCACATCGGTTTTATCGGTACAGTAGAACGGCAATCATTAAAATAATTCCAGAATCGTTGCGACGAATCCGAGTCGGTAGAAGTGAGTGCCTAAGACGAATAATCCGGGGATCGTCCCGCCTTGTCGAAATGCTTCAAGTTTTCGAGTGTACGATAAACTGCTACGAAGAAATATGGAGGTATGGACTGGTCTTCTAACATGAGGTGGTTTTGGAGTTTTACACGTATGAAGTGACATTTTTTTTAATTATTATTCCACAATCTCATGACGAGGAATGTTTTTGCGAGGTATGGACTGCGGTTTTTGTGGGTAGTGGGTGTCGGATGCGCAGGGGTGTAACTAGGCTCGCGGGTAATTGACGCTTTTATTTGTTTTTTTTTTTCTATAATTTTCGAGTCTTGTATTTTGCATGTTTATGTGGGATTTTCCGCGACGAGTCGGCGATGCGGACTCCGAGGGTCGCGATTCCAGTCGGCGCGATGTGGGGTTACTTGAGAAAATGAATATTGAATTTGCGGTTAAAGAAGATAGAGGAACCGACCGAGACGTTCTCGTTTCCGGTCCCTATGCTCGACCCTTTCATCCGGCGGAAGTCGCGAGCGATCGAGTACTTTCGGGGAACGCCGCGCCGTGCGAAGTACGACGCATCGACTTGCTCGTCCGCTCGCGTTTCGATTTGCACGGTTTATTTTCAACGAAATTTAACCCCTTTTTCGATACTAAGATGAATAATATGATTAAATTATTCATTATGAATCCATAAAGCGATGGACATTTTCATACGACCTGAATGTCGTCCACTCGGGATGATCTGTAAAAGTCTGAATATGAAGTTAACGTTTTCCTTCTGAATTAAATAAATTACATTTTGTCGATAGTTATTTCTGTACATTTGTAAGGAATATGATGCGAAGTACGACGCATCGACTTGCTCGTCCGCTCGCGTTTCGATTTGCACGGTTTATTTTCAACGAAGTTTAACCCCTTTTTCGATACTAAGTTCAATAATATGATTAAATTATTTATTACGAACCCATAAGGTGAAGAACATTTTCGTATGACCTGAATGTCGTCCACCCGGGATGATCTGTAAATGTCTGAATATGAAGTTAACGTTTTCCTTCTGAATTAAATAAATTACATATTGTCGATAGTTATTTCTGTACATTTGTAAGGAATATGATGCGAAGTACGACGCATCGACTTGCTCGTCCGCTCGCGTTTCGATTTGCACGGTTTATTTTGAACGAAATTTAACCCCTTTTTCGATACTAAGATCAATAATATGATTAAATTATTTATTACGAATCCATAAAGCGATGGACATTTTCATACGATCTGAATGTCGTCCACCCGGGATGATCTGTAAATCTCTGAATATGAAGTTAACGTTTTCCTTCTGAATTAAATAAATTACATATTGTCGATAGTTATTTCTGTACATTTGTAAGGAGTATGATGCTAAGTACAACGTATCGCCTTGCTCGACCGTTCGCGTTTCGAATTGCATGGTTTTATATTTTCAACGAAATTTAAACTTTTTTCGATACTACATGCAGCAATAAGATTAAATTATTTGTTATGAACCTAGTAAATGATGGATATGAATATGGATATAGGGCGTGAAGTCTATCTAAATTTTCATGGATTAAACCAGGAATGTCTAGATATACAATTGACGTTCCTTCTGAATGTAATAAACTATGGTTTATCAACAGTTTTTGTCTGTGTTTATATCGAATATCATATAAAGTACAATGTACCGACTCGTCACATACGCGATATTCAAAATTGGTTGGTTTCGTTGTTAAGTGAGACATAAGATGAAATTATTTGTTAGAAAGCTAAGCAATGATAAGCGTAAACGCATGTCTTAAATCATAATGAAGTCTTGACGGGTTAAGCAGAAAATGTGCATGTATACAGTTAACATTCCTTTTGAATTAGTTAAAAGGTGCGTTGTCAATAGTTTTTTTTCCTGAATTGTTTATACGGAGTATCGGGTAAAGTACAATGCGTCTATTTGGATCCACTCGTCCTTCAATTCACATGATGTTCTGTTTTTGTCGAAATTGTTAATCACAATAAGATAGAATTATTCGTTAAGAACTTAAAAAATTACGAACATATACATACAGGCTAAATATCATTCACATTATTACGGATTACACCACGTATGTACAAGTACAGTTAATTATTGCTTTCGAATTGAAATTTAGTTTTCTTTCTCCTATTGTAAATGTAACAAAAGGCTGACATTTTTCGTTATTGATCAAGAAAACGTTAAACATATATGTATAACTGTAATAGGTCCTCCGTGGATTAAACCGCATGTATTTAACAATGAGTGTCTATTTCTTTTGTATACTAGTGATATAGACTGTATGTATTGTTGCCGTACTCTGAATTGATAAACTAAAAATTGTTAACAATTTCATTCAATTATATGTAAGTACACGTTCAGGGCGACGCTTCGTCTTGCTACTTGCATTCGTCTTTAAATCTACAAAGTATCAAAGTGTTATTGCAATTTGTTCAAAATCAGTTAATTTTTCGACCCAACAAATGCAAACAATTATTTGTCGTGGAGCTTGTTATCGAGTACTTCTCTTTTATACATTTTCATGTGAATTGCGGCACGTATTCGTTTGTTTTTTACATTTTTGTTGTTTCAAATTCGGATGTTGTAATTAGAAAACAGTGCTGTACAAACATTTCATGATACTTTAGTATACATTTCATTACATTTTATTCGTTTCATTGAGTCGTCAGTATAAGCTCATATGTTTTACCGACAGTTTTCGTTCACCGGACTTGTCGGAAGGGCAAGTTATTGGAGAAATGTAAACGTATATTATCAAACTTATTGGAAATTACGTTAAATACTGAACGTAAACTTTGTTTCAAGAATATAATGTGGTAACAATATTTATGGATCGGCATTGCGCTCCGATCCGACGGTTTCGCAAGGCTGCAAAATCAACGGCGACTTATCAGAAATTTACAGATAAAAGCATTCGATTGAAATTTCAATTCGGCGACAATAACTGTAGATATTTGAACTCGTAAATGTGAAGTTAATGAAGAAGAAGTGAAGTTAAAGCATTGAAATATCCCCGTGGCACTGAGAAACACCATTCCATCAATGCGAAATGAACCGAAATGAGAAATCTTCTACCTGAGATTAAGTTAAACTTCGGTTTGCTAACTTTAATGAAAACACCAATCTTGGTAGTAGAGCGATAGTATTAACAAAAAAATCAATTCCCCTATCAACATTTATAGAATCTGCTGAAGTAATCGTTATGACGCAGGACGCCTATTTAAAATATTTACTTAATTTATCACGTCGTCTAAGTTACATATCCAAGTAATACATTTTGAAACATTTCGTTTTATTAGAGGATTCTTTATATCTTAAATAATGTCCGGCTGGCAACGCCTTTAATTCGTTTTTAGTGTTTATTCCTCAACGTTTAAAAAGAAAACGAAATTTGGAAGTAGAAATAACCCCGTTCTTTCTTCTTTTTTCTGGTCTTGACAAATGCGAGGGTGACTTTCAATTCTCATTTTTCTGGACGTTTGACGTGTAGGAGGTTTCTCATTTTCATATCCTTGAGAGGAAATAATAAAAAAAAAAAGAAAAAAAAACGTAAATCTCATGAGGTCGCCAGGGAGGCGCCAGACACGTCGTGATTTTCCGTCTCACGCGACACACCTTTGTGCTCGGCGAAGCGCGCGTGCGTTACTAAGCTCACGCGTGACTTGACCGTCGGTCTCCGATGCACGCACGGGATTTTCGTCCTTCTGTCCGTCGCGGGGCATGAAGCATTCAGGGCGACAGAGGTCCATTTTCATTTATCGCTGGTCAAATTAATAACAATTTCCCAGCTCAGCTTGGAAGAATTTTTACAAGAATTTCTCTAATAATATTCAATATG